TCAGCCTCTCGGCACTGTGAGGAGAGCGCCCCACTGCCTGCCAAAACTCCTCCCCTGGAGCCCATCAAGCCGGATATGTGAAGTAGGCGAGGGCCATTTGCTGGCCACTTCCAGGCAATGGTGCATTTCTTCATTCCTCACAAAGGTGACACCTCCCCAGCCTGCACCCAGGGGGCAGGGCTGACGCAGCAGGGGCTGGTTCCTTGCTGTTTCCACATGGTCTTGTGGAGCTAATATTTAATGTATTTCAGCATAGATGGCCATCACAAAATTGTACATTGGCTCCCAGCCGTCTTGGGCTAGGGCCAAGGCAGCAGGGGCCATTCCCTCACTGTTTCCAGGATGGCTTTGCAGCCACATGAAACCATTTCACGGGCCGCATCCGGCCCCCGGGCCTTGTGTTTGACATGTCTGCTTTAATGTATAGGGCTATTCCTCTTTCTTTTGAAGTGCTAGTGCAAAGTAAAGTTTGCCAATTTTCAGTTGTTCTAACAACTAATAGTGTTGTCTCTTAATATATGTTTCTTGGAGACAAATTATATCCATTTTTAATTTTTGTAATTGTGTAAAGAATTTTCTCCTTTTTGAGGGAGAATTTAGTCCATTTATATTCATTGACAAAATCCCAGTCTCCTTCTCCATCTCTTTCAGTTATATCTAGGTATTAATCTTCTAGTCAATCTTATCTGTCTCTAATCTCTTGGTCTTGCTCCTTCTTCTGTGTATGTGTTTCTAATTTCTTCCTACTCTCTTGGTTTGACTGCTCCTTCTACTGCCATTTCTTCCTGTTTCTTTGTTTCTCTCTTTGTAGCAGATTCAAAATCACCTCTTTCCAGAAATGCTCTATGGTTGTTGAAGAATTTCATTGCTTTAGGTGGTATATCCAATCCATATCTTTTCATATCCCAATAGATTAAAATCCCTTCTTGAATCAGCCATCTGAAATTCACTCCTTTTCCAATTAATTTTCTAGTTAAAAACTGGTATTCTCTTCAGGATTCTCTTATTTTCCTAGGAATATATTTGAGGACTACAATTTCTTTTTCTTTGTATTCCAAAAGTTCATCTCTTATTCTTCTCAGAATCTCATCTCTTATAGATCTTTTGAGAAATCTAACATGTACTTCCCTTTATTTCTTCTAGCATAGTTTGAGTTGACTCGATAGGTCTGATCTAATTCTCCTTCCATTTCCCATTTCCTGATTCCTAATGTGTCTGCCAATAATTCCGTTATCAGGTCTAGAAGATCCTCTTCCTTATCTTTCATTATATTTGAAATCTTAAAAAGTATGAGGCTCTTTCCATCTCCATCACAGCTGTCTTTTAGTTCTTCATTTATTTGCATCAATTTCTGATTTTCATCTTTTAAAACTTCTAATTTCTGGTCAACCTCAGTTGATTTATCTTCTATTTCTTGGATTCTTTGTTGGTTATCTGCAATCATCTGTTTAAAACTTTCAAACTGAGAGTCCATGTTATTAATTTTTTGATTCATTTTATCAAAATCACTTTTCATCTCTTTGTGGTTTCTTGTTGTAACTGCCATGTGAGTAGCGATTGCCTCTTGAATTGCTGGTAGCATCACTTGGGTTTCCTTTTGGAAGTTATTAGACTTTTCTTGTTGAAGCATTGTATCAATTAATCTCTGATAGACTGGACTTGCAGAAGCAGAAGAGGGAGCAGAAGTTCCTTTTTTCCAACTTTAGATAGATTGGTGATGCTCATCTTTTATCTTTTAATCATACTTTATAATCCACCAAGTAAATCAAAATTTATAATCCAATAGGCTCCTAATAAATAGGAGAGGTAAATAATAAAAAAATAGTAAGTAGTAAAAAAAGAACAAAAAGGAAAAAAGAGAAAAAAGAAAATGTATATATATACCAAAATTTGTAATCCAAAGTGTTCTGTTAGAAGAAATTTCTTGTTTTTCGCCCTTTCAAAATAGCTTGTAAAAATTCCAGGTCAAACTGTATTTGTAATCCAGGGAAGTCAGATGACTTCAAAAACAATTTTTATTTATAATTGTAATCCATCCTGTAGAAAAGGGCAATCCAAAAAGAGTCTTTTCTTTTTCAGCCACAATCTTCAGGACTATAAATTCCAAGGACATCAAAGTGTTTAAACTATAAACTGTCTCTGGGCATCCAGCCAAGTTTTAAAACTCCAATCAAAACAACTTAGTAAGATAAAATAAAAGCAAGGTTAAATATAGTTCTCAATTTTGCCACTAGAAGTTATTAGATGTCCATTCCCACCATATCTTAAAAAAGTTAAAATCCGATGGTTTCCAAACAAGAAATTAAAAAAAGTTTTATAAATGCAAAAGTTTCCAAAATTATCCTTCTTTTATGCCTCAATTATCTTCACAATACTGTTATAAGTCAGTTTTAATTTCTCCAAAGCTTAAACTGCCACTTATAGTTCAGGAGGGAGGGGTAGAAACTCCCCCTCCCTGAAGCTTAGGGATTTCTTGCTTTTGAGTGCTTTTTCCCAGAACCAGTCGCTTGTAGAGAGATAAGGAAAGCAGTCTCACCCGAATCAGTTGTTTTGCTTTCCACTTGTTAGTATTCATTGTCTCCAATGATCAGCTGCTTCTGGCTGACTGCATGGGTGCAGTAGAGGCCAGTCGCCTCTGTTGGGTGAGTTTTGGTCCTATTGGACCCCCCAGCTGGTAGAAATTGGACTTGGGGAACAGAGTTTCATTCCCCAGCATCCATGTTGCAGCGACGTCACTGGAATCTTGGCATGATCTGCTTTTGACAAGATCTTCCTAGGTATTTAGGTCAGGCAGATAGGTCTGTAGTTTTCTGGATCCATTTTTTTTTCCCTTTTTTGAAGATGGGAACTACTTCAACTCTTTTCCAGTCCTCTGGTAGTTCCCCAGTGGTCAAGAATCTTTGAAAGATATAGTTCAGTGGTTCTGAGATCATATCTGCCAGTTTCTTCAGAACCTTGGGGTGTAGACCATCTGGTCTTGGTGATTTGAACTCATCTAGGGTGGACAGGTGCTCCCTTACTATTTTCTTGTTTATCTAAACTTGTGTTTCTAATCTGTTTTTTACAGTACTGTTTTTGATAGGTTGGACTGTTTTTTCCCTTTGTGTAAATACGGAGGCAAAAAACAATTCGAGTAGTTCTGCTTTCTCCCTGTTGCTTGTCACCTTCTTGCCACTCCCTCCCACTAATGGACCAATCATTTTCTTAACTTGTTTCTTGTTTTTTACATGTTGAAAGAAGCTTTTTTTTGTTATTTTTGACAGTTCATTTTGAGCCTTAGCTTTCCTCACTTCATCTTTGCAGGTTTGGGCTATTGCTGATATTCTGCCTTAGTTATGTGCCCCTCTTTCCACTTTTTAGACTTGTCCCTTTTGTCTTTCAATTTATCAGAGAATTCTTTATGCAGCCATGCTGGTTGCTTTTGAGAGCTGTTATTTTTTTTCTTCATTGGTATTGTGCTAGATTGGGCTTTTATAATCTCATTTTTCAAACTTTCCCAAGTTTCTTGTGTTCTTTTCCCCTTGAGGATTCTCATGTGTGGAATCCTTCCCAAACCCTCTCTAAGTTTATTGAAATTAGCTCTCTTAAAGTCCAAGACTCTAGTGTGACTGTGTTCTGTTGCTTGTGCTTGCATAATGTTGAATTCCAGTATTGCATGATCACTCCCACCAAGGTTCCTGTGGCTTCAACACCTTATATAATTTCATCTCTGTTAGCGAGAATTAAGTCCAATATGACTGATCCCCTAGTTCCCTTCTCTACTTTTTGGGAGACAAAGTTGTCTGCTAGATTTGTCAGGAATTTGTTTTATCTTCCACTTGGTGCAGAGTTTGTCTCCCAGTTGATGTCAGGGTAATTAAAGTCCCCCATTACTATTGTGATATGCTTCCTATGTACCTTAGTTAGCCAAAAGTTCATCTATTACCTCTCTTTGGTTGGGAATGATGAAAACAGGACACCCTCTCCTCATCCCAAAGATATAATATCAAGTCTAAACCACAGGAATGCAGAAGCAGCTAACAGCAATTAGGATTGACAGGATTAGAATAGAAACACTAAAAGGTACACAACAATAAAATAATCATACCGGATCCCTCCTGGAGCAAAACTTAACATTTTTTTAGACAGAATTGATAAAGAAATTAACCCAACAATAGACACTGACCAACAAATAAGAAAGACAAATTTTAAACTCATGAATCAGAAACCACAATTTTAGAAACCATGAAAGGGTTTAAGAACTCATGTTTGACGACCATTCTGTCTAGCTAGCTGGGGATTCATGCTGAATTGTCACTCAACTTTAATCTGCTTGATGAAACCTCTCTTTCCAGTAGCTGGCTTCACGTTCTATTTGTTATCTTCTGCGCTGCTTGCGAGAATCCAGACTAGAAGAGCCTGAACGGGGGAGTTCCTCCCTACAGGATGCCTATAGTTTACACCTATGGCATCCCCCAGCCATTTATATTGATCCAACTACATTCAAGACAGTTTTCATCATTGTTGTGCTCTATTTCTGTAGATATATAGTTATTTCTTATATAGAGAGCAACTCCACCTCCTCTTTTATTTGGTCTGTTTCTTTTAAATAATTTAAATCCCAATAGAAATTGTTTAAGGACAATTTTAAGGGAAATTGCCTAACAAGGGGAACGGTGCTCAACAGTTTTAACCTCACGAGTCCAAGCTTAGTATTACGGTATTAACAAATTGCTGCTATTAACGGGTAAAATGAGGACTCAAGATTGTTGGGGGCAATATGCTTGACTCTCCAAACCGCTTACACAGGGCTGTAAAGCACTGTGAAGCAGTATTTAAGTCTAAGAGCGATTGCTATATTTCTCCGTTATGTACGTTTAAAGTTGTAATTGTATTGGTCTGTTTCATACTCAGGGAAACTATCTAATCCGGGAATCAGAACTCCGCTTGCAACTCCCCTTTCGTGCAGAAGTCAGTGAAAACACACAGAGGAACATTTCATAAAGGCTTACCGAACTTACGCTGCTTCTTTACAACTTAAAACACCCTCCAGAGTCTTTGGAATTTTATGTGGAATTCGACGCCCGGATACCTGGACCGTCCATAGTCAAATGTGCGGACGTGCCGGAGAGCACCTCATTTCTCCGTGACGAGGAAGAATTCGGCTGCTCTCCACCAGGGATGCTCCCTTTACAGTCCTGCCCTCTCCATCCCGCCTTCTTCGAGGAGCCCTACTGGCTCCACCGATGGGGCACCCACGTTCTCCTCCCCTCCCGCTTTCATCTCTTCTCGACTCCGGTTGGGCTTTGGCAGGAATCCATTCTCTTGACGCCCCCCGCAACCCGGGAACAGCTGCCCTCTGCTGGAGGCGAAAAAGACTATCAATAGGGCTGTAGTGATGTGGCAGCGAGCGGGAGTGTGGGCCGCAGGGAGGCGGAGTGTTCGGATGTGGAAGGTCCTTCACGGGCATGAAAGTGTTCACAGATCTGCTTGAAAGCCTCGGATTTCAGCTGCAGATTTCTGCCTCTCCCGTCGCAGATTCCGAAAAAGCACAATCGAAGGATCCCAGCGCTGCTCAGAAACTCAGAGAACATCTGTGAGAGTTTCCAACCAGTTTTTCAGAGCTTACATACGCGCACAGCGCACGGACACGCAAACCCCCCTTAGGCTCTTCCCTCGGAAAACACACATTCCTGTTTGCATTAATATACACTTCAGTACAATCACTATGGGCCAGAGAGCGTTAGTCAAATTCAGTTTCATAGAAAAATTCTTCTATAACGCTAAATCACTAAAAGTCTTTAATTTGGGCAAGCTAGTTCCACAGTAAGGCCATAAAGGGGATGAGGGGGTGGGGGGGGGGAAGCAGGCAGACATACAGAACATGCTGCTAAAATTAAATGAAGTTAGTCAGCAAGTAGAAACAAATGACCCTTTCTTATTTCTCAGATCAATAAACTGCAGGCACTTCATGGACATACATTTGCAAGGACTCTCTGAAATTTCATTGTTGTACACAAAGATGTTTTCTAGAATTATATTCCTACTAGTGACTTGGAATAATTTTAGAATATTCAACCACTATTATACCCAAATCACAGTAATCACAATCACCTTTATGTCATTTCAATAATGGCAGAGTGATGCTATAAAGATACTGTAAGTCACCATTGGCAAAATGGTATAAGAGTGTCCTATTTTGGATCAATTATTTTTGCAAATGTAATCCAGTGCCTTATATCGTATAGGTAAATCTTTAAGAATACCAACATGTATGTATGTATGTATATATATATATATATATATATATATATATATATATATATATATATATATATATATATGTTCTGGAGTTGGAAAAAATGTTCAGTCATGAGAATGTAATTTTGAAGTGCTTAAATTGATTAGGTGATTTTTGTCTATAATAATATGATCTGATAAGGTATGATAACTAATTGGATATCTGAAGTTTGAGTAATGAATTGAAAGGAATTAAGGTTTAACATTGTTTTTTTTTAAATTAAGTTAGTTATCACTGGAAGAAGAAATGAATGAGATTGGTGATAAGAGGGTTAAGAGAGATTAAAAACTTCAATATACATGGTAGAGATACTTGAAGTGATAATTTGTTGATGTAAAACAATATTTGATTATGGTAATTTTAAATTGATAAAGCTTTAAAACAGGTGGAGTAGTAACAGAAATTTAAGCTCAGAAATGGAATATATTAAATCTATTATGTTATTTGTGAGAAATAGAGAGATGATAGTGAATGTATTAAGTTGAGCTGTTTATGTATATTTTTTTTACCTTGAATTGTTTGTTTACCCAAACACCACAGTGTGTCTAAAGTACTCTTTGTTAAAATTAAAAAACCAATAAAATATATTTTTTTTAAAAAAAGAATACCAACAGAGAATCAATGCACAAAGCAACTTTCAGACAAATACTAAAAGTATTTACAGATTTGCAATGGTATTTTAGACAAAAGTCCTCACATCATAGTGCTTTTAAAAACTCTTTTCTTTTTGCCCAGAACTGATTTTAAATCTCTTTTTCTTCTTCTTTTTTGTATACCATTAATAACATTAGATGTTAAACTGGAATGGAGAAAATACTGAACCCTGAGGCGACATGTAAAGCAGGGGCTGATAGTAGGACTCCTCACCCCACACCAATGCTGACTGGAATCAGCCTTGGAGGAAGGAAGAGAACCAGCACAGCACAGAATTGCCCACTCCCATATCCTGAAATGAAACCAGTATACTAGTGTTGATGGTATTTAAAGAAAACAAAGGATCAAGAAGAGCAAGGATGGACACACTACCTTCATCCTGTTTCTGCCAGAAATAATCCAAAAGAACGATGAATGCTTTTTCAGTCCCATATTGAGGCCTGAATCAAGTGAAATGGATCCTGATAATCCATAAGAAATTGTGTGAGTACCATCTCAATAACCTAAAAGGGGGAGGTTGGAGACTGGACAAAATTATTGGGCCTAGTGATGGCTTTTTTGGAGAAGGTGACCTGCTGCCTCTAATTATTTACCCAGCTTCTTACAGACTGTATACAGTGCAGTATATGTACAGTAGTTAAAAAAACATGACTAATTCTAGTCACATCTTTCAGAAATAGATGAACAGTTTGTTGCTAGAAAATCATAGTATGATTTGTACATTATGTAACAGCAAATTAGATCATGATGTATGTTTTTCTGCTCTTAACTAACTGAAATGCTGTGCTGTCCTAAAACCAATTGGAATAAATATCAAGATAACATATTTATTGGTGACTGCCAAGCCTACAGCACTTTGGTAATGGCCACTGTTAATACCTTTTTCTGATACTGTATGTCAGTTGATGCTAATAAATTGGATCTTCCATTTAAACAGTTTTTCAAAATATCACACTATTGGAGATATTCGGATGTTTTAAAATCTAACTTGCACTTCCAAGTTGCTATAGTACTGGTGGAAACATAAATTCTGTCGGCTATGTCTAAATAAATTTACTAAAAGATTGGGGATAGCACTAATATCAAACATTCTAGAGAACCTTACTGAGGCAAAGAAAAATTTATATCTGAAGTTGGCCATATTTTTTATTATTTGTGTTGCATGTATTTATACAACTCTTTGGTTTGATTAGTCTATCTTCATCAGAGTTAGTGAGGGTTTTTTTGTCATGTCAATTTTAAAGATAGATAATGATTTTCATTCTAGAGAGAAGCGTCAAAATAAATGAATTATTCTTACTCAAAACTAAATAAAATCTCAGCAACTATCTTGAAGACTTTCCAGCACCTAAAACCATGTCCAATATTTTACTTGCTCCTTCCATACAAATAACTAAATGGAATGCTTACAATTGAAATAAATCTAGATATATTCTCTGCTCTAAAATAAAGTGGATATTATTGATCTGTTTTGCTACTTTACTCTACCAAAATCAAATTGGAAAATATTATAAAAATACATCAATGAGGAGAAACGGATTTTAACCAGCAAAATGTTTATTATTAGACTTCTATGCCATCCATTTCACCAAGGCAATTCTAGGCAGCTTATAGTCAAGTAGTTAAAATGACCATATAAAACATGAAAACAATAAATAAGAACCATACCATTAAAAATTCAGATAAAATTTGTACTTGAACATTGGCAGATGCTAAAAATGACTTTTAAGTGGTTCTTGATCAACTGTCAAATATTAGTTTTTTCCTTCAATATCAAGTTTGTAGTTTATGCTAATTAATATCCCAAATAGAATATATTGTCTTTTCTGAAAGTATTTTTATTCTCTTTTTTTCATATTCAACTCCAGAGGCAGCAAACGTATCAGTATTCCTCCTGTTTTTCCCACAATCACCCTGGTCCAAAGTCACCCAGCCAGGTTTTCAACACAATCTCCTGATTTTTACAGTAGACTATTACTTTAACCACAATACCAACCTGTCTCTTGAAATACAGGCTGTCCCTAATCTTAGTTTGTTATATTTATATTCCACCTTTCTGGCAAGAATCAGCACCGTCACTTTCACTTTCATTTGAGGCAGGTTAGGTTGAAAAATATTGCCCAAACATTACATAATGAAGATAGGGGCAACTGGACATTTGAAAGTGTGAGTCCACAGTACTGGTTTAGAAACTTTAATTACACATACAGGTTGGCTTTCTGTTAAATATGAATACAGACTACAATAGGTTTTCAAATATAAAGATATAGAAAGATATATAGTTCATGATAATTGGCACCAGTATAGTTTTGATTCCAAAGTCACCTTTGTACTAATCTACTGCCCAATGACATCATTGCTGATTTAATAATTCTGCTGATGCTGGCCTTCTATGATCTTGATCACATGAGACAATTGCCTGAATATTTCAACAACTCTTAACAATGAAGTTGGCTTATAGGAAAGGAGACTTTAGACAAAAACAGCTTTAAGGGTAAGGAAATATGATATATTTTGATAAATAAAAATAGGCAGGTATTGATACAAGGATATAACGTTCTAATTTAAAATACAGAAACAAGTTTTACAATTGTACCTCTAAAACGTCCAGTCAATTACAATTATTAGCTTCAAAATTAAAAAAGAGGAAATAGCAGGTAAAGAATCCAGATTAGGAGATAGTGGGCTGTAGCTATTGCTGAGTCCACAGCAGTGGAAAAGCCCTTCTATTTTTTGTCAGGAATTTGCTAAACAGAGATATATCCAATGATGATTCTTAGAATACTGGTAGGAATCGGTCTCCACACTACAATTTCCAGAAAGATCATATTCAATAAAAATGTATTCAATAAAAATGTACATCCTAACACATATAAAAAGGAACCAAGTTGAGAAAGGTTGGCTTGTTACCAAAAGTGGTTGAGGCTGTAATATTGGCAGTTCTTCAGGATCCAGGCTGTCAGTTGATAAGTTTTGGCCTTTGAATGTCATCATAGGTATGATTGTACTTTTCCTGTCTTCTATGCTTAATTTCAATCAAACAAGCCAACAAGGAAACAAAAAGACCAAAACATCAACTCATGAGCATACCAAGATTAACCTTAGACCAACAATTAAGAAGCAAACAATCCCCTAACCAAAGAACTATCAACTCAGATAAATATGTTTACAATAAACAATCCAAGCAAAGAACTTGTGCTGTCCCACTCACTCACACACATACACAATAGTGGGTTAATGGGTTTATTAATATTCTCTAGCAATTCCCTTCAATAAAAAGCCAGAAATGTCCCAATTAAGTCCAGCCAAAAGCAGACTAATGCTGGTCTACACAGCAATGTCCAATGAGTCCACAAGAAGGCAGGTTCTCTTCTTCATCGCTGACCAGCTGCAGCTGTGTGATTTCACCATTTGAAGCTGTCCCGCTGCAGGTGTGCTTCAGCCAAATCCCTCTCAGATGGTTGCTTGGAGCCATTGACCAACTCTCCGGAATTGGTTCATCCTCCTCTGAGCTGACATCTAGAGATGTACCTGGGAAGCGTCTGAGGGGGGTTATCACAGAACCACCAAGACCACTCCCACCAATACTGACAAGGCAAGCCACTAATATGTAAAATGAGAGCAAATCCCACTCCCTACTAGCACTGATGATGTTATCTAGTTTGGTAATAAAACTCTGCAAGAAAATACCAAGCTCAGAGAGCACCTACGATATGCCAATTTTAATTTTAGACTAACATTTTTAGATAGATGCATTTATTATTTATTGTTTATTTTATTTATTTGTTCAATTTCTATGGCTGTTCATCTCAATGATTCTAAGCAGCTTGCAATTCAAAAATCATATTACAGTGAAAAATATTAAAAACATTTTAAAGCAATAAAAACAGTAAAACCAATGAAAACACTAAAAACATCGAAGTAAATATACATCAGAGCAATATATTTGGTCAATTAGCAATACAGCCAGGAAATGGGGCTCTTGACACATTCATCACCCCAGGCTCAAGAACACGGCCAGTTTTTTAGGGCCTTACGAAAGGCTAACAGGGTTGGGGCCATTGCAATCTTTGAAGACAGTATGGTCCATAGATCAGGGCCACTGTGGTAAAGTTCATATTCTTTGACTGACAGATCTGCAAAATGCCCACTCAATCTAGTTGGACAGGTAGAGCTTTTTAAAAAGATGATCCCTCAGCCATGTACAACTTTAAAGGTAACCATCTTGAATTGCACTCGGAAACACACATCTAACAAATGCAGCTCACACAGGAGTGATGTTACATCTGCTGTTTATCTGGCATTATTTACTACCCGGGCTGCTGCATTTTGCACCAGTTGGAGTTTCCAAATGGTCTTCAAAGACAACCCCATATAGGACATGTTGTTACAGTAGTCTAACCTGGAGGTTAGAAGGGCATGGGTTATTGTGAATAGGGCCTCACACTTAATATATGAGTGCAACTGTCGCATCATCTGAAAGTGTGCAAAGGCCCTCCTTGCCACAGTGGCCATCTGCTTTTCAGGAGGACCTGCACATCCAGGAGGATCTCCAGATTGCTGGACCTCCTGGACCAAACCCACTGGGTCTCTCTGGGGCACTGCAATCCCATCCAGAATTAGAGGTCTCCAAGGGGTCCAAATACCCACAGCCACTCCATCTTGCTAGGATTAATTTGAAGCCCCTTTTGCCCCATGCAGTCCCCAACAGCCTCCAGACACTAGGATAGGATGTCTACAGCATCACTCAAGGGGCCTGGGCTAGAAATACAAAACTAGGTGTCATCTGCATACTGATATCTCACCCCAAACCAATGTATCATATCACCCAGTGGCCTCATATAAATGTTAACTTGAAAGGGAGAAAGAACAGAGCCCCGAGATACCCCACAAAGTAGGGGGCATGGGCTAAATCTCTCTCTCTCTCTATCAACAGACTGGAATCAGCCACAGGGAAGGGAGGAGAATAAATATGTCCACCCCCCCAATTTCTGGAGTTGGTCCACAAGGATATCATGATCAAAGTTATTGAATACCACAGAGAGATCAAGAAGACCCAGGATGGATGCACTACTTCCATCCCATTCCTGCCAGAGGTCATTCATGAGCATGATCAATGTTTCAATCCCAAACCCCAGTATGAAATCTGGCTGAAAGTGGTCTAGATAATCTGCCTCACCCAGGGTTCTCTGAAGCTACCATGCGACCACTCCATCATTATCCTTTAAAGGGGAGGTTGTAGACCAGATAAAAACTGTCCAGGCCACCTAATTTGAGCAATGATCCTTTGATCACAGTGGTGAGCCCACTCCCTCTCTCAACGAGGAGTTAACTATTGCCCAGAAGCACTCACATATCCCCTCCCACAAGGCCTTAATTGGCCAGGAGGAACATGGGTCTAACACAGAGTTCCCCAAATTTTTGAGCACCAGGAACTGGTTCCATGGAAGTTTTTCCATGGACCAGAGGGTGCGTGGTTTTGTGTACTGCCTGCATCTCATGAATGGGGCTTTGCTTGTTTGTGCAGACCAGTTGCTGGCATGCCACAGACCTGTACTGGTCCAAGGACCAGGGGTTGGGGATCCCTGGTCTAACACACAAATGGATGTACTAGCAGCTGATAGAGTCCTGGCCATCTCCTCAGCTTTGAATTCTTCTCAGATCACTTTGCAAGATATAGCTCCCACCACCTCCATAGACTCTGCTCTAAAGCTGGAGTTCAATATAGAGTGCACGCAACCAATTTTATCTGCCAGATGTGCAATTTATTCTTCACAGCAAGCCTTTAGGTGGATTCGGCATTGTCCCTCTTAGGAGGCACCGAGTCACCCAGAACAGGATCATTGGCAAACTATTGGCAAACACAATGGGGGCAGAGAAATAATTACTCTATTAAGACAGGCCTTAATAGTGGCTCTACTTCATGTTCAATTGTCTTTGTTCCCTGTCTTTCCCCAGCAACATATTGGTCATTCCCTAGTCCACTTAAGTTTCCTTAATTCCATCATTAAAATATCCATAACACTTATTGATCTATTTTATCTATCTGTTTTTTTATCATGAAAGTAATTGCTTATTTGATATTTTTCTGAAATCATTTTGAAATTAAACCTTTCCATTTTAAGCTCAAAACAATCTATCATTTTTTTAATTCTTATTGAAAATTTTTAAATTTTACAAAACAATTCCCTTCCCCAAACCCCCCCAACCCTCCCATACCCTCCCCCACCTCCCCAAACCTCCCATACCCTCCTCCAACCTTCCCAGAGCTGAGTACAGGCTTAATTAAAATTTTTCAAAAAAACTTAAAACACATATAAATCCTAAGCAAATCTAAATACATTAAATTAAACAAGTTATCTTCTCTTAAAAATAATAATTACAATCATTAAACACATTATAATATACTCTAAACATTTTCTAATATCATACTTATATTATTATCCATCATTCTTTATAAACTCCCTCCAAAACACAAATTTAAACATTACTTAAAACATTAAAATTCCCTTATACATATTTAAAGCAAAATGTTCCTTTAAATACTCCTTAGATATCTATACATACAATATAAAATCTAATCTCTCCCTCTTTCTTTATCCTAAGACACAAAAATAAACATATAAACATTCATTATACCATTAAAACTAAATACTCTTTTGAATAGTCCTTAAATTGCTAAACTTAAACTTCTTATCTAAAATTTTCATTCGATCTCCATGATCTTCTCTCCTATCAAAAAAAACCTTAAAACACATATAAATCCTAAACAAATCTAAATACATTAAATTAAACAAATTATCTTCTCTTAAAAATAATAATAAAAAAAGAAAAAAAACCAAAATTTTTTTTTATAATTACAATCATTAAACACATTATAATATACTCTAAACATTTTCTAATATCATACTTATATTGTTATCCATCATTCTTTATAAACTCCCTCCAAAACACAAATTTAAACATTACTTAAAACATTAAGATTCCCTTCATATTTAAATCTTTACCAATAACCAATTCCATCCACAATAAACACATTCCTTATCAGTCTCTCTTATCCATAAACCTCGAAAGAAGTGCTTTGAAATCTGCCCTTAAAGGTTGCTCCAAAAAGTTTATAAATCTTGCTTCTCCCAGACTCAGGAACCAATACTTGTGAGGCTTCCTTAACCTCCTTCTGTTGCTCCTTTTCTTTACATTTATATGTTGCACGGGTTGTCCTCTGCTCCTTCATCTCAACTTGTTGAGGCCCCTCGAACTGAGATTTCCCATTTTTCATTAATATAGGCTCTTCAGACTGCAATTCTACCCTTAAAGGTTGCTCCAAAAAGTTTATAAATCTTACTTCTCCCGCAGATTCAGAAACCAATACTTGTGAGGCTTTCTTAACCTCCTTCTTCTGTTGCTCCTTTTCTTTACAATTATATGTTGCACAGGTTATCCTCTGCTCCTCCATCTCAACTTGTTGAGGCCCCTCGAACTGAGATTTCCCAATTTTCATAAGTATAGGCTCTTCGGACTGCAATTCTACCTTCTTCTCTTCCAAAGCTTTAAACGTAATAGATGGCGATGAGCATACCCCCAGAACCGAAGTGTAAAAGTCTTTTGCTTTAGAAACAGTATTAAGTCTATAACGTATCCCCAGGTAACTCACCACCATTCCAGTCGGAACATCCCATCTGAACAAGATTCGCCTCTTTTTAAGTTCGTCTGTTAAAAAAGCAAACTCCTTTCTTCTTCTTAAAATTTTAGATGGGATCTCCTTTAAAATTATAACATCTTGTGAAGCAATTTGAAACCTCTTCTTGTAAAAAGCTTGTATAATTTCGTTGCGCAGGGATCTTTTCCCAAAATAAATTACCACGTCTCTTGGCAAATTCTTTTGCTCTGCCACCACGGAGTTAACTCTAAATGTTTTTTCAATTTCACTAAGTATTTCCTCTTTTTCTCTATTCAAAATCACAGCAAAGTCATTTGCAACCATCTCTCTCAGATCACCTTGCACAGACTCTCTCAAGCCTCTAATCCTTAAAGCATATTCCATTTGTCTATATTGAAGCATAAGAATCTCATCTTGAAAATTTTCCATCTCTTTTTCCATGCTTTCACATTTTCCCTCCATCAATTCCACTTTTTCTTCTACGCGAGAGTTCAGCTTTTCAAGAACAGAGGCAACTCCTTTTAAAGCCAAAACTATCTCTTGCCTCAAAATCTTATTATTTTCCTCTAAAATCTCTTTCATTTCTCCCCTAATTTGAGATATAACATTTCCCATCATGTCTTGCAAATCCTTCACCATTATTGACTGTGCCAAAGAAGAGGGTGAAGCTATTGGTTTAGGTTGTTGCGCTGATGATAACATTGAAGAAGAAACCACCTTAGGAGCTGTAGGAATTACTGAACACTTTGGAGCAATCTTAAAAAAATCTTTACTCCTTCTTAAAAATTACAAAAGTTAAGCAAAAGAAAAAGAGAGATTAACTCCAAAAAATCAAAAAATCCTTCAAAAGGAGATCATTATAATAAAAAGAAAAAAGTTAAAAAAAAGAAAAGGGAAAGAGAAAAAAAATAATTAAATAGAAAAAATCCATTCCATTTTTTTTAAAAGTACAAAAAACAAAACAAAAAAGTTAAACAAAAATAATAATCCTCCTAAAATCCAAACCCAACATCAAAAAATCATAGCTGCTTGCCTCTTTGAAGCCATTTTCAAAAGGGGGAAAAAAAGTCTTATTTCTTCCTTCTTCCTTCTTAAAAATAAAAGTAATCCTCAAAAAAAAAGAGAGTTTAAAAGAAAAGAAAACACCAAGGACAAATCCACCTTCAAAAGGAAAAAAAATTTTTTTTAAAAGAAAGCTGTTTAATCCATAACGTTACAGTCACTTTCACTTTCTTCCGGAAAAAAAAAACAACTTCAAATCGCCATTTTACTTTCACTCTCCAGACAAAGAAAAAAAGCAAAAAAAGAGAAATAAAAGGATCACATTTCAAACTAAAGTCCAAATAAAGTCCAATAAATCAAATCCTTTATCCAGCTCTGTCCGCTTTTAAAAAAAACTCACCAGTCTCCTTTAAGCACGGAGGTGGCCGCAGCGTTTTGCTTTGATCCCGAGGGATCAAAGGCAGCTGGGAGGCGGAGGCACCCGAACTCCGAGGGAACTCTCTTTTTACCCCCCCCCCCAAAAAAATCTGGGGGGGGGGTTAAGAGGTTCAACCTCTATTCAGGTGATACTCCTCTCCCTCCCTTCGCCCAGGAGGGAGATTTTAAACCGCGGAGCAGCTGATGTGTGCTGTTCTCCGCAGTTTTCACGCTTCTCCCAGAAGGATGGCTACAAAGTAGCCGCCATCACCGGCGCGAACCACCCGAAGTACCCGAACCACCCGAACCATCATTTTGAAATTAAACCTTTCCATTTTAAGCTCAAAACAATCTATCATTTTTTTAATTCTTCAGAAGAAAAACATCATGAACAATGAATAGAGACTGAAGAACACAATGAAAATTATGTGCAAATGGTGATGGGGTAATATCTGAATTCTACTAAACACCTTCCTGATGGGCGGAACTCCAATATGCTTGTTCTTACAAATAATGGAGAAATCTACTAAGCAGCAGATGTCCAGGCTGGAGTCTCAGGTAGGAAAGAAAATAAATCCATTTCTTTTAAAATGTTGCCAATAGGAATAAAATACAGATGTAATTTAGAAACAGATAAAATAAGTTTATTGGGAAGAAATAAACAGAGACACATGCATTCTTCTAGTTACTCTAAAGCTATGGTAGCAAACCTATGGCACACATGCCAAAATGGGCACACAGAGCCCTTTCTGTCAGCATGCACACCAGAGGGATGCTCCCTCCCCCTCTCCACATGCATCTGACTAGTGGGAACTGGAGAGGGCAGGGAAACTGAATCTAGCAGCGCTCTTGCGGGAACAGCTGTGAGAGCTGGATGGGGAGAAGGAAACCTATAAAAGGAGCAGGTTTTGCTGGGAGTGCAGCGAGAGAGCGAGTGAACGAGTAGATGGCCTTTGGAAACGATGGTAGGTGTGAGTTTGGACAAGACAAGTAGGATGTGGCATCTGTTTGTGCTTTGCAGAAGGCTAGCGGGGGAAGGAGGACAGTGAGTTTGGACTTTGGAGAAAGGGAGAGAGAAAGGAAGGGAGGGGAGGAGGAAGGAAGGAAGGAAAGAAGGAAGGCTAGGCCCGCCAGCACCGCCAGGCATTTGCGCGGCCAGACCTGCCCAGGTGACGCCGAAGCCAGCCAGCCCTTCTATGGGAGCGCAGGTGGAGGGAGGTAGAGCGGCTACCCCGAGCACTGCGCCTGCCTCCCTTTGGGCTCCCTCAGCCTCTCTCCCTCCAGGCTGCGGCTGGTCAGATTCCCCCCGTGGGCAGCCCTGTGCCTGCCACCAGCCCGTCCCTGGCCAGCCCTCCTCCTCCTTCTGCGGGTGGACCACGGCTTACTGAGTCGGGTGGCGCCTCTCCCTGCAGGCGTCCTCAGGCTGAGGAGCTGGGCAGCCATGGCTCTCACACCCATCCGGCCTCCATCTGCCTGAGGCCCGAACTCGGCATGCCCGGCTGGCCAGTGATGGACTGAAGAGCGCCAGACGGTAGCACGTGCCCTAGGGCAAGCGGTAGGCAGGGTGGGTGCTCCCAATGTCTGCAGAAGGAACGGCGAGTAGACTCCATGCCCAGCCCAGCCCAGCAAGTATGGCACGGCAAACAAGGCAGCAGCCTCAAATGCGTCCCCATGTGTGAGCATGTCCCTGCCCTGCCAGGCAAGCAGAGCCGCAGCATCTGCAGCAGAAGAGCACAGGCGGGCAGTGGAGAGCACAAGCCCCGATCCCAGAACAGCCCCTCCCCACTCTCCTCCTCCCGTCGGAAGAGCTGCGGGGCTCAGGAGCCTCCCCCTGCGCCCTCCCGGTCCCCAGGGCATGTTGGCCATGTTTCTCCCCAAAGCAAGGAGACTCACCTTGGCAGCAGTTGCTGGGCATTGGATGGGCATTTTTCTAGTCCAGCTCCCCCCCATACACACACACGTGACATGAGGGTGAGACAGACTGTGCCTTGGTGCTGCTGAGCTGGCACCCCTGACTCAAGAGGGGGGACCCCTCCCTGCCCAACGTTCTGCGATTAAGAGGCTCTGGAAAGTGTCTGGGGAGGGAGTCAGATGGGCAGTGAGTCAACCCAGATGGCCTCCAAGGACTTTTTGTATCATTGAAAGCTCTGTTATTGTGTTTTTGGGAGATGGAGTGGGGGATTTTTATTTTTTCCTCGTTTTGCTCTTTTAAAGAGAAAACACCCCCAATGCCCCCCTGCATAGCCAGAAGCCTTGCACCATTGCCGTTCGCCTGCTGGGCTCCCCCAGCCCCCCTTTCTCTTCCTTTGAAACAAACAACCCCCCAATCCTCCCATTCCTGTCTTCTGAATTAAAACAAGAGAAAGCCAAGTTTTTTCTTTTATGATCTTTACATATTTAAACTGCAGCAAGAAGGAAGTGAGGAAGAAAACCATCACGAGACACTCTTCTATTTTAACTTTTTTTCCTAGTCGCTTTTTGGAGTTTTCATCCTGCTTTCATGAGAGGGCAGTGTTTGGGAGGGGGTGTAGCTGCCCCCCCTCCCCCCCAAGCCATCAGCTGAGCAAGATACCTTCCTGCCCACTGCCGCACCCGCCAGAGACCCCCTGGATCTCCCCCAACCCTGCCTGGCCTCCACAGGCATCCCTCCCCAGAAGCAACATCGACCATGACCACCGTAGCCATGGCAACCCAGTGGGCCATGCCCACCCAGTGGGCCATGCCTACCCGGCACCCAATGATACATAAGTGGGTTTTGGGTTGCAGTTTGGGCACTCGGTCTCTAAAAGGTTCGCCATCACTGCTCTAAAGAGTTAGTGCCATTTTTCTTTGTTGCCATCTAGATTTATAGAAAACATGAGTTTTGGGAAATGTTTTTCAGTTACGTATCCTAATAAGTTGGGAACAAGCATAATGATTAAATTCAAATTTATATCCATGTTTATTTAAAATTTTGACCCACTGAACCCATAATAAAATTAAGAGTTGATTACCCAGGTAAATATTTTTAAAATTGTTAATCTAATTCTCTCTCCACTTACCTTTCTTAGGTCTATACACCATTGTTCCAGTTCTTTTTTTATAAGAGATTCTGATACTAAATATCTAAGGCAGGCATGTCAAACTGCCGGCCCATGGGCCGGATGCGTCATGCCGAAACCACGCCCACCCCATTGCTGGCAATGGGGAAAAAGTCACGATATGTTGCATGACAATACAATTATACAAATTACATAATGTAGCAGGAAAAAACTGAAATGTAGTAATGGAAGCAGAATAGGTGGCAATAATACAAGCAGTTACATTAACAACTTTAGTTAAAGTTGCTCCCTTATTATGCTATTTTAATAAATAATATTATTTTTCATTTACATAAATGAAGTGAAAGGTATCACCAGGACATTGGCAAATGGAAAAACGGTATCAGGGCAATTGGAATCCATAAGCAAAAATCAGCAGTAAAACACTTTTAGCCCTTTTGAATTCATGCAGTGTTGGAAACACTATGCAATTAATAATAGTCATTAAAAATTAATTTCATATTACTCAAGATTCCTATGTAATACAGTCATTCTGAAATTATTTTTGTGTTCAGTTTGAAGGATTCATCATAATTACCAAATGATTTTAGGAAGCAAAACTTTTGAAAAAATATGTCCAGGGAATATAAATATTTGTGGATTATGTGCAACAAAAGAAACAAGGAAAGGATTAGCTGGGAGAGAAATAAGATTGCAACGATTCTATCACTACTAAAGTGGACAAAATTGTTTGGAAAAGTTTAACCTAACGAATCCTCTATTGCATAGGTCTCAACCTGATATGGCTGGACTTTGCACACTCAGAAAATAAGTGGATAAAGAATTCCTGAAACCTAAAAGAAAGGGGGGGAAAGTAGCTTGAATTCTTTAAAGCAATAAGAGATTCAGGCAAATCGGCTTCTTAATGCTCCAGAACAAAGCTCTAATTTCAATTCAATTAATTACAGAACATTAAAAATCTACATCTATCTTTAACCTTTATTGAAGGTTAAATTGAAAATAATGCAAATCATTAATCACTTTGTCTCCTTAAATATCACTTAAGGAGACAAAACATATCTACGTATATGTTTTCAGCTCTGGGACTTTCACCCCTTGAATGAACATGGTATAGTTCAAAAATAAGTTATCTTCTTCCTCTTCTTTTCTCAGGAGAGTTTCACAGATGTTTATGCTATGGCAAATTTTTCTCTTCCACCATTAAAACCACCAGGAAAGCCACTATCGCTGTTTAAAGTGCACCTACCACCAATGAAACTATCAGGAAGACAAATACCAGCATCTTCAACTATCACAGCTGCTCCCTTGTATCAAAATAGAGAATCAAACAAACATTTATCATCTTGTATACCAGAAACAAACACCATTTTTCTCCCTCAAGTGAATATTTCAGGAAAGAAAATAGGAAGAAAATACTATGAACTCCCTCCATTGACCACTACAGTGAAACAGACAGAAGCAATACAGGAAGCAATTTATCTGCAAGTGAGCAATATTCAGGCAGGTTCATTTTAAAATAGGCTAGGCCAGAGTTCCCCAATCTTTCCAGCTTGGCAGACAGGGAGGGGCAGAAGGAAAAGGGATGGTTCCACGCAAGCGGCCAGCAAGTGCACACATATGGCACAGCTTCGTTTCCATGAGTGGTATGCACATGCACTGCTTATGAAAATGGAATGCTACTCACGCAAGTGGGGATGCATGTTCACGTGCGCATGTTCATCCACCGTTTCTGTGGTCTGGTTGGAAACAGCTTACGGCCCACTAGTGGGCCACAACCCAGAGGTTGGGGACCCCTGGGCTATGCAACATTTCCTTAAAAGCAAAATAATATGATATGCCATTTCCAAAAGGGGAAAAAGAAAACAGAAAAAAGACAAAACTCATTTATTTCAAATTTAAACATAGATTTAGTTAAGCTTAGGCTATATAATATAGCAGTGTACAACCACAGTGAAAGAAAATCAGGTCGTTCAATAATGCAAAAAGTTTTCTACATTCATAGGAAGCTTCCCTTTAGGAGACTCTCTTCAAGAGTGTCTGAACAAAATTCCCAAAATATCAAGCATCAATGTTGCAGTCTCTTAAGGGTTGGGAATGCTGTGCATTTAGAGAACACCAAGTTTGGGAAGAATGGCACTGGTGCAGTGGAGATCAGAGGGGGTGTGGTTTTGTGTAGTGCCTGCATCCTGCAGATGGGGCTTTGTTTGTGTGGCCTGGTTGCTGGCATGCTGTGGACTGGTATGGGTCCACAGACTGGAGGTTGGGGACCCCTGCTGTAAACTGTCTCCGTTCCACAATTGCATATAAAGCTGAATAATTATTCTGTAATGAAATCATACTTATATGTCAATCATGCTACTCTGTTTTAGGATAAACAATATTATGCAAAACACATAAAAAGAGTAAGAAATAGTAAGCTCAATAAAGTACAAGAGATCAGATAAATTTAAATGTAGTTTTAAGCCAGTTCATACACTAATTCATAACAATATGTTTGTTCTTTATAAACAATTCACCCCTCCCTTTTCTGAATATTTCATCAACTCTCTAAAATGGGTCTTCAAACTTGGCCCTTTTATGACTTGTGTACTTCAACTCCCAGAATTTCTCAGCCAGTGTCAGGCACACTGGCTGAGCAATTCTGGGAGTTGAAGTACAGAAGTCATAAAAGGGCCAAGTTTGAAGACCACTGCTCTAAAACCACGACTTTCTACATTTCCCCCCCTACCTCTTGACCCCACTCTTCCTTCACATAAACCGTTTTGAAATTTTGCTTTGGTCATTCTTTGCCCATGACCAAACCTCAATGTATTTTTTTTTATTGATTGGTCACTTGCACACACCTGCAGGTTCCACAGGTAAAATGCTTTGGTTCTGATCAGCTTTATTTGAATTTGCATTCATTCAGCACCCATCCTTCTTCTGGCCGCGTGCAAATTTATTGGGCGTCTCCTGCCTTACCAACTCGCCCTTCATATAACTTAGTAGGCAGAGGCACGCTCTTATCGATTTTCTTTTCAAATCTGGCGGACTTACGCATTTCCTTGCTAAAATATTAAATCTTAAGTGACCTTTGCGCAATTCAACGTGCGAATTCGCCATGCCACCCAAACACCTTGCCCAACGAACAACCGCCCAGAGTTTTCTTTCAATTCTAATCCATGACCGCCCCGCTATTTTCCCTCCAGCAGGCGGCCCTACAGGACAGGGCTTGATACCGTAATAGGTATCAGGTCGCGGGCGGAAGTTTTTCCAGACCTCCTTTCCCGTTATGCCTCTGGTTTCCGTTGACTCTTTCTTCTTTCCTGGGCTGCTTCTCCGCCGCCACTGAAAGCGTGAGGCGAGCGGGAGTCATGGCCGCCTCGAAGCCCGTGGAGGCCGCCACAGGTGGAACCGGGACGGGCTCGGGGATCCCGCGCTGGCAGCTGGCTCTGGCAGTCGGGGTGCCGCTGATTGGGGTCGGAGCAATTTACTTGTGGAACCGACGGAGGCGTGGGGCGCGGGCCGGAGGCAAAGGAACCAGCGAGAGGAAGACCCCCGAGGGGAGAGCCAGCCCGGCCTTCACTGACCCTTCAGGGGGTAGTCATCTCGATGGCCCCGCCGGTGGCGACGAGCTGGTGAGAGGGACGATGGGCGAAATTAGTCCCCGAGCGGGGAGGGGGCGCGCAGGCTTTGGTCGAAGGAAGAGCGGGAGGCCGCCTCAGCGAGCATTCGGGCTGCAGCGCGCGAGCGAGCCACGTGCTTGGTTGAGGGGGGGCAGAATTGCAGTGCCAAGTGCTTTTAGAGGGCGGGTTCGGGTTCCAAGGGTCTCTGTTCCAACGGTTCTTTTGGAGGAGGGGGGGCTGTTCTGCGAAGGAAAGAAAGGGGTGGGCCACATGACTTCATGACAGCAACCTGATTATCGGTAACTGCTGTCCTTCAGCCGGCAAGGAGGGGGGGACGGCGAAATTGGTTTGTCTTTGCTGGGCCAGACTAGTCGACCGCTTCTTCGCCTTCTCTCAAGGCTTCTCTGTTGTTATTTTGAGTTTTATGAGAAGAGAAATACACAAATAATTTTTAATAGAAATGAATACCTTAAAATGCATTACATTCGCATTTTGAATGGCCTATAGGTAGTATTGTGCGTGCTGTTTACTGGAAAACAGTTTTTAAATTTGGCATTTCTTTTAAGTGCTGAAAAATGAAGTTGTTGATTTATATATATAAAACTAACAGTATAGCCATCATAAACAAACTAATATATTTAATTGGTGACACTAAATATCTAATTGGTGGCACTGAGCTCTAAAATTATATGAGAACATTATCTTAGACATCATTTTTTTCATATTTCTTTTGAATTTTTTTTCTTTCTAAGATTAAAGACGTGCTGGTGTAAGAAGTTTTACTTCAGGCTCTTTTGGTTCTCATTTTATATAACCTTTCTTAAAAATATTTTGATTTGTACTTAGAGCAGTATTCCTATTCCAGAAATGGATGCATCATATTCATTTATGAAATGTTATGATATTGTATTAGTTGCTTTCACAGATCTGCATATCAAACTTTACTCTTGCATTCTTTTTCCAATTGCACACTGCTTTCTCATATTGTTTCAATATAAATGTTCAAAGAAATGCAACTGTATTCACTTAGAATTCTTTTTTTTTTTGGACACTCAGAGGTACTATATAAATTTTCATGCACTTAAGATTGAATAGTATTTATTTATATCCTCTAAGTCTCAAGACTCTTGGCAATGTACATTAATTATAGGCAATGTAAGCATTTAAATAAATGTCATGATAGGAATTAAATGTTTAACATGCTAAAACAAAACTATAATATCAAAAAAACAAATCAAGCCAAATAATCTCAATTTCAGCCCATTTCACAACCTCCAGATCCTGATCGCTCCAGACACTAGGAGAAAACATTAATAACATCAGTTCTAACCAGAGGTGATGATAAATAGCTGAAGAACATCAGCATGCTGATGATAGTACACCTCACACTAATAAATGCTTTTTCCCAGTAGCCTTGTACATAATGCCCGCCACAACAAGTTCATTGCAAGCTGCTTGAAGGCAAAGGCAAGGTCCAAGGATGTTTGCCAGTATGTATTAGCCAGGTCCTGAGATTACCTGGGACAAATCCATGGTCACAATGACAACCATTAAACCCACTCACCAAAGCATGGAAGTTGAAGTCACCAAACACCAGTTGAGAAACTTAAGCAGGGCTCCTGCTGGCAACAGGGTGGCTACTTGTTCCTCTCATCCAAATGAACATAGAGGCATTCATATCCTGCCATAGAATCATAGGGTTGGAAGGGACCTAGGAGTTCTTTTGGTCCAAGCTCCTGCCCAAGTGAGGAGTTCTTATACCAGTGGTGGTGAACTTATGGCACGGGTGCTAGAGGCGGCACTCAGAGCCCTCTCTGTGGGCACGCATGCCATCGCCCCAGTCCTAGGCCTTCAGCTAGGTTTTATAAAACCTTTTCGCTTTAGGCCTCCGCTGCTGTGTGCAAAAAAAAAAAAAGAAGGTTCAATCAGTCAATTTCAACTTCTTGTGGGGAAAAAAAAGATCTTGCAAAGTTGGAATTGATTGATTGAACTTTTTAGTCCCACCCAGTCTGCTGTTACCATTGCAGCCACGCCCACCTAATGGGCCACACCCACCCAATGGGCCACACCCACCCAGCACCCGATGATGCATAAGTAGGTTTTGGGTTGCAGTTTGGGCACTCCGTCTCTGAAAGGTTCACCATCACTGTTTATACCCATCCTGGATAAGTGGTTGTCCAAGCTTTTCTTAAAAAGCTCCAGCAATGGAACACTCACAACTCCAGGATACAAGCTATTCTATTGAGTAATTCTTCTTTCTGTCAGAAAATTCCTCCTTATTTCCAGGTTTAGTCTCCTGATGAACTTCCACCCATAGCTTCTTGTCCTGTCACTTGGAGGCAGAGATTCTGGTCATAGATGTGGTGCCCTACTCCCTAGCTCTAATGTCAAGACTACTGAAGGACCCAAAACTCAGTTGGACAAATCCCCGAAAGGATAAGACTTTTACCCTTGCACAACTAGGTTTTGATAATATGTGTCAGATGTGTATATCAAACCCATTGTCTGGGATTCATAATCTAGTAAATATTAGTTCCTTCAAGCTAACAATTATAGGATTTGTGCCCTATAGCAGGAATCCCCAACCCCGGGTCCATGGACCAAGTACCGGGCCGCGGCATGCCAGCAACCAGTCTGCACAAACAAGGAAAGCCCCATCCACAGGATGGAGGCAGCACACAAAACCATGCCCCCTCCAGTCTGTGGAAAAACCTCTCCACGTAAGCAGTCCCTGGTGCTCAAGAGGTTGGGGACCTCTGCCATATAGTATTGGGAAAGAGCCTTAACTTAAAAATATTTGAAAAAGCTTTTCTCTTGCAATAGTAATTTGTCCAAGTTGTGATCCTATCAAAACATTACTATCTACAAAGAAGAAAGTACTGCATCAATAGATTTAGGAGATCTGTAAGATTTAGAAATAGCTTGACAGAGAAGAATCCTTACAGAATATCTGGCAATTAAATTTACTTAGTAGTCACAGAATAATTAAGGAAGAGGCAACAGAAAATATTGGGGAGGGATGGAATGAAGCATGGGATAGAGGTGTGAAAACAATAAATTTGTAGTTATTTTCTAAAGAAACTGGTTTTCAGTTTTTTAAACTTGGTATACTTCTATAAGAAAATTAAGTTATGCCTAATACATTTTGTAAAGTAATAATGGCCTTATATGTGTAA